GTGAAGCCTGAGCGGCGGCAGGAAGGGGTGGCAGCTTCCGCTGGAAAGCTCTGGTGGTGACTTCTCCTCCCCAAGCCCCCAGGTGAGGCCGTCTGGTCAGTTTTCCCTGCAGTGCTGCTCTCAATTCTCTGACTGCCCCCAACTTGCCAATGGAAGCCCCTGCCTTCCCAGTGCTTTCACAGTCCCTCACACCCACCCTGCAGTCACCATCCCCAGCTCTCCCCAGAGGACACTGCTTCCTGGCAGCCTCTGGGGTGGACCTTGCAGGGTGTGTTCACCCAGTGCATGCAGGGCTGAGGCTGACAGCTCCAGAATGTGCTGGAACCACTGGGGGGCTGGCGCAGGCACACAAACAGACTCTGAGGGTTTTGGCGACCGTGTAGTCTGCGACAGCAGGGCGGGAACCTGAAGCTGCCCCCAGGAGCTGCACCCACGCCACAGAAACTGGTGTATGCTGTCAACCAGGTCTGGCCTTTCCCCCGTTACTGAACACTTACCAGCACACAGAGGGGGCCCTGCTTCTCCTTTGAGCCTCTCAGCACCAGGTAGACCCTCTCCACCCACTCAGCACGCCCACCTGGCCATCTCTGCTCCCAGCCCCAGCTATGCCACTGGCTCATTGCCCCCCACTCAAGTTCCCACCACCACCCTGGGGCCCAGACTCCTCGGCAGGCACATCTGGGGGCTCTTTGTCCTCACCCTCCCTCAGGTGGCCTGTTCTCCTGGCCTGACTTTGCCAGCAATGCCCAGAGAGTCACAGTGCAGATGGCACAGCAGGACTTCTGTATTTCCCCAGAACAGGTGGGCTCCCACTGGGCCCATGACTCCGGCCCCAGCATGGGAGAGTCCACTACTGCCTTCTTCCTGTTGCCGAGGAGTGTAGGCATTGCAGGTGCTGGTGGCGGGGCTCCAGCCCTCCGGGGCAGCAAAGCACCCTGCACAGGGACACGTGGCCTGGCTGCTAGGCCCCACTCTGCCTCAGCCCTACTAGCTGCTCTCTCTGTGCCAACTGCTCTCTTCCACGTGGGGCTACAGAACTGCCAGGCCTCTGATGTTCAGGGGTCAAGGGGGCATCTCTGACCAGAAGACTGACCCTTGGGGAAGGGGGTCCAGAGTCCTGGCAGGAGTCTCCGGGAACTCCTTGGGAGCAGGGGCTCCATGGGATTCCCATGTGAATCCCCATGCAGGGGACAGTGGCAGCTTGTGGCAGGGGACAGGCCAGCAGCTGGTGAATCAAATTCAACAAAGCACAGTGGGATCTGCCCTGAATCACTGTTCAATGCAAGGAAGGGGCTCCAGCCCTCTGGCCAGGGGTGTGTAGAGCATGGGGAGACCTCAGCTGCCCTGGTCCTGCCCTCACCCCCTTGGGGGGGGTCTCTTTGCTAGCACCTGCAAGGCTCATGGTGAGGCACCCACAGGCCAGGGGGCTCCATCCTCCGTGCTATAGGCATGGTGGAGCTGCTGCACTGCCAGGTGGTGCCTGTCTTGCCTCTGTCTCCTTGCCAGGAGGGGAGGGGGGTTGGGGAAGAGCTGTGGTTCTCACCCTTGCCCCCCTATCACAATCACCGGGCACGTTAAGACCAGGTTGCTGGGCCCACCCCCAGGTCTGCAGTGGAGCCCAAGAACTTTTCATTTGAACAAGCTTCCAGGTGACGCTGGGAACCACACTGAAACCACCAGCAGTTATGATGATGGTATTTGACCCCATTTGCTAGGTGAGAGGTGTTAGGCCTGAGAGGCCCTCACTTGGGGTCCCGGAATGACCTGGGGGGGGGGCATCCCCGCCTCTGGGGTCTGGAGAGCTGAGCAGGGATCAGCCAAGTGACTGTGGGCAGGCAGTGACTGCCACCCTCTGGTCAGCAGCGGTCAAGCCCCAGGCTGCTGGCTCCCCTGCCTGCACCTCTGACCCCAAGACGGTGGCCCAAGGATCTAGTTGCAGGGTGGAAAGCCCTGTCCAGGGACTTCCCAGCTTAGCCTCCCTGGACCAGCTGGAGAAGGAGCAACAGGGTCCTGCCACTGGCCACAGCAGTCCTGCCCAACCTGCCCCTGCTCTGCCACAGGTGTTCAGGTGAGCTGGGAGCACTGGTGGATGATAACTACACCTTTACTTTCTTTGCCCTCCACCTAGGATGCAACGCTTCTGATATTATGAGTGGAAGCAATGAGCCCCTGAAGTGCTAGCAGTTCCTGCGACTTTGTCCCGCACAAACCATAGATACTTCCCATCACCTTAGAGTCGCTGCAGATCATGTGAGAGAGTGTACACTCCTTGCTACTCCTCAGTCACAGTTCTTCCACTTGCTTCAGGAATAAAGCAGCACTTATACTGTTCAACAAATATTTCCAGATCTTTTCTGATACAACCCATTTCTTTTGTAAACCTATGCACCTTATTTTATACATTTATATGCGCTATGTTGAGAAAGGATTCTGGGACTTCATGAGATGCCAAAGGTGTCCACAGCTCCACAAATGCCACCCACCCTGTGTCACAGTACCATTGCTTAGGCTGTGCCAGTGACCCCATGGGTGATGCTCTGGCAGCACAGGGGTGAAAACTGGGCCACAACACATCTTTTTTAAATAATGGAGTTCCAACACAATTATAAAATCACACAGCTGGAAAGTCTTTAGAAAGCCTTTATTTCAATGATTTCCAAACTTCTTGGCACAACTCACAGCAAGAAATAGATTTTCCTTTGCAGTGCATTGACTGCGTACATGAAATGGGTTGTTTATTCAACGTAATTTTACCATACATGATGCACTCTTACATATTCTGTGCTATTTTTTCTTGATCTATTCTATGTGATTTTTGGGAAATGATTAATTGAATTTTTCACAACCATAATGCCTGACATAAACTGAGTTAGTACCCAGCTTGCATCAATTGGAAATGAATAGTAGCAGATTTGTTTTATTTTATTTTTTTAATAGTAGCAGATTTAGAAGCAAGCAAACAGAAGGGTGAAAGCCTTAGTATTCTGACAACAGGGAAAAGACATTCAAGTGATCAGTGTGCTTTTAGAATAACCTAGAGGTGGGAATACCTGGGTGGCTCAGCGGTTTGGCGCCTGCCTTTGGCCCAGGGCGTGATCCTGGGGTCCCGGGATCAAGTCCCACATCGGGCTCCCTGCATGGAGCCTGCTTCTCTCTCTGCCTCTCCCTCTGTGTCTCTCATGAATAAATAAATAAAATCCTTAAAAAAAAAGAATAATCTAGAGGTGGGGGATTTCCAGTTAATGTGCAGAAAAAGAAAAAGTATCCACATAAGTTCAAATCATAAAAACTAAAATTCACTTACTTATATCTTTGGAGGCACTTTTGATGACCTCAATTTTAGCATTCTTGAGTGGGAGACTTCAAAAATGCTTCTTTATGTTCAAAACTACAAGTCAAAGTAAAGATGGTCCAATTATCTTGGTTTGGGAGTGGCCACATAATAATCAGTCTTTTTATATATATATATATATAATCAGTCTATTTTCAAAAACCAGAGAAACCCACAAACTTTGCCAATAAAAAAGGGGGGGCCAGATTGGCCCAAACTAAGGCACTGGTTGTGCAGAAGGGTGGGAGATTCTTCATGATTTCTCCGCTAAAAGCCAGTGCTTTGCAGACTGTTGTGACCTTTCTGCACATTAGGAACTGGTTCCCATGACTGCAGGGGGGATTTCTGTGGCTTTGACTCTGTGGGGTGTACCTGAACAGGGTCCACTCAGCATGTGGGTCAATGTGATGAGAACTGTCCCCAGTTTGAAGATGAGCTCACCTGGCCTAAAGGTATGATTTGTACATTCTTTCTTGGCTTTAGGAGCAAACATCCTGTGGTCAAATATATCCAGAATGGGTACAGGAATAGCCTGATTCTTAAGAGGCACCACATAAGATTTTGGTAATTTGGGATGTCTTGAAGCCTGCTCACTTTGACCCAAACTTCCTAAACTAGTGACATGCAGAGGATCCACTGGGGCAGGATGAAATTTCTGTGGCCCAGGAGTCATGCAAGGAACTCCTGAGGACCAGACAACCAGCCCTGGGGGAACTGTGTGTGTATCCAGCCAAGTTCTGGGCCACACACCCTCCTCAAAAAGCCTCCAAAGGTGAACTTTATGTTGTTGTATGAATACACTGTTGTATGGCCTAACAGTTTCCTGGAATCGATGGTACACCTGCAGATGGTCCTAATGAACTAGACCCTATGAAGCTCTAACTTCCAGGGAAAAAAAGACTCGGGGAGACTTTGGGGCTCGCATCCACAGTGACCACACTTCACTTTCATCACCCTCTACCCCAGTTTTAATCAGGAGAGATGGCAATCTGTCCCTGGGGCTGACTGACGCAGGGCTGCCCCCCAGACAGCCCGAGCCCTGCATCTCCCTCTACCCCTGGAGGGGATACTGCTGTGGACACCAGTGCCCCTCACCCCGCCTGTCTCCCTCTCCCAGGGGGGACACTGCTGCAGGGACCGGCAGCCCCCATCTCCTTGCACCCTGGGGGGCACTGATGTGGGGTCAGGTGGCCCCCATCTCCCTCCGTGGGGGGGGGGTACAATGCTGCGGGGTCAGGTGACCCCGGGAGAGGATCGGGTGCTCCGAGGACCAGGTCAGCGCGGGTCCTGCTCTCCACCCCATTTGCTCGGTGAGAAGGGTTGAGCCCGAGAGGCCCTCGCTTGGGGTCCCGGAATGACCTGGGGGTGGGGGAAATGCTGGTCACAACCTAGGAAATCTAGAGCTGTCGCACACACCGGTTGTGACTTTCAGTTTGAAAAACAATACTACGTCACGGCCGTGTCCTTCAGCAACAGGGCCTCAGAAGTGGTCAGGCGGAGGACAAGCTCCGCCGACGCCCAGGATGCGGGAGCCCGGAGCCCGGAGCCCGGAGCCCGGAGCCCAAGGCGGGCGCTGGGGGCAGCGCAGCCACGCGGCGGTAGGGGGCGCTGCGGCGCGCGCCTGCGCCCTGGGGCGGGGGCGGGGGCGGGGCTGCCGGGTGCCCCGCCCCCCCAGCTCATAGCTGCGCGACGCGGTCGCTGCGAGCCGCACGTCACAAGTGTGGCGGCTGTGCAGCCGGCGGGGCGGCGGTGAGTGGACGTGCCCGGCGGTTGGGGCTGGGGTGGGGGGTCTCCGGGGCAGCGGGGCCGGCAGCGGGGAAGCGAGGGTGCGCCGGGGGCTCCTGTGTTGCCTCCGCCCTGGCTGCGTGTGGGTGCGCGGGGCCTGGGAGGACGTCCTGGAACGTTCTGTGCCTGCTGGAAGGGGCGCTCTGCCTCTGCGGGAGGGGTGGCAGAGGGCCGTGCTCCGGGGCTCGGGCCGCGGAGTCCTCCCGCGAGCGAGCCTCCCGTCCCCGGGCGGCTGCAGGCGGCGGCCGGCCTCTGCTCACTGCCGGCCCCGTGGAGCGCGGGGTCACCGACCTGAGTGACGGAGCCGGCATGGACCCGGGGAGGGGGCAGAGACGGCCCCGGGCCCCGAGGTGTGCACTCATCTGCTGCCGGTGCTGGGGCGGGGCGGGGGGCGGGGGGGCTTCCGTGAGCCCTCTGGGGCGGTCACAGGGTGGACGTGGTAACGGGACCGCGGAGAGCCGGCGCCCGCTCCCCTTGCCTCCCCGCCCCGGGCAGGACCCTGCACTTGGGCCACAACGGACTTCACAGGTCACAGAGGAGGGTTAGTTAGAAAGCGTTTACCTAGTAGCCTTGGGAAACCTTCCTAGTGGCCTTAGTGGTTCCATCTCCTCTGTCCCTGGATGGAATCAAGGGGGCACGAGTGTGGATGAGAAGAAAACCTGCATTTTGATGGAAATTTAGCATTTCCTCCAAGTTTGAAGGTAGGCAACAAACCCCAGTAGCAACAGCGTGACTTTGTCCGCAGTAGTAAATCATAGATATTCCCGAATCCTCGGATGTTGTGAAAGCTCATCAGACTCTGAAAGGACAGCGGTTACCAGACGTGCTGCTGGACCTTGTTGCCTGACCGGCTGATGAAGAGTCACATGTGCTGCGCTATCACAACTTTAATTTTCATATTTTGATAAAACTTTTTTAGGCGTGCAGTTCATCTTGGTTATTCTCAGATTCTGTGTTTGCAAGTTTGCCTACCCGCTAAACTTGATTTGTCATCCCAGAATCCATACTTGCAGAGCTTTTGTGGTCTTTTGTGGACATGTGCAGGGTGGTGAAAAATTTGAGTCGCCTGCCACGTTTTCAGCTGTGGCTGGACAAAGTGACGCTGCCTTCTTGCATTGACAAAGGTCCTTTTTTCAGTCTATTCAGTGTCATGATTTTTGCATTTTTGTGCTTTTTGTTGGCGACATCACCGTTAAAATAGCCTCCAACACAGTGCTAAGTGGTAGGTTCCTCAGTGCCAGGCTGTGAGGTGTGTACAGAGAAAATGCGTGTGTTCAGTAAGCTTCTGTGAGGTTTGAATTAGGGTGCTGTTGGCAGTGAGTTCGCTACTGAGGGGTTAGCATAGGAACTTATGTATCGATCGGTTGACAAAAATGTTACAATCAGCTTGCAGGACCCTACCCAGTATTTCTTCTAGAAGCAGTGGGGTCAGTATTCGCTAGTTTGGTGTTCCTAGTCCTTCCGAGAATGGAAGAGTCTCAAGCAACAAGCATTGAGTGTACTTGGTTCCCTTTGTAGTCCCTGTACGTCTAAAAGCTCTGAGAAGGGGCTTTAGGCTTCACCAGGCTGCTAGAGGGTCCATACACACAGAATACAAAGAGTCCAAGAGTCCTTGCAGCCTGAGAAAATAAATAAGTCTATTTTTACAGTGAGTCTGTGCTTAGCTGAGTCCTTGAAGATTTTGGGAGATGTGTGTCTGCAACTGTGGACCTCATTCACATGCCTGTTGGCTCGAGTGGGCAGGACCTATGGTTTTATCTGAAGAGCAGCAAGCAGTGGAGACCAGTCCCTCTCTAGTCAGACTTGGCATGGGGCGTATGTGAGTGGAGTCCCTGGGCTCCAAGGGGGAAGGAAGGTGGTAGCACCCAGCTGGGCTTGTGGAGGGGTCCTTGGGGCTGATCCACTGAAGAATGTCAGGGCGGCTCTGGCAGAGGGTTGCCCTATCCCGTATCCCCCTCTGTCCTGATGACACCCCCATACTGAAGCCCTGATGTCTCCACAGAACTGTCTGGCCTGTAGCCTTCCTCCTTGGTTGAGGAAATGACCAACCAGGTAAGGCCTATGGGGACGGGAAGAATAACACTTGGTTCCTTTGGCAGGTGGAAGCCCAGGATGTGGTCTGGGTATGTAGTCAGGAAACTAGCATCTGCTCCTGCTCTGCTTTTAAAGTCCTGGGTGGAAAAAATAAATAAAGTGCTGGGTGACCATGAGCCCAAATCACCAGACAGGTGGGGGCACTATAAGCTGCACAACACCAGCAGGAGGAGGATTTCAACTATCGAAATATTTCCACAGTTTCCAGAGGGATTGGGGAGAATTCATACTCAGGGGCACCCAGCTGGCTCGGTCACTAGAGCCTGCGACTCTTGATCTCAGGGTTGTGAGTTCAAGCCCCATGTTGGGCATAGAGTGTCCTTAATTTAAAAAAAAAATGTCCTCAAAAACAAGAAACAAAAATCAGAAATGGGGAAATTTTTATCATAAGATTAGGGACAATGATAACAGGTTAGGCAGACTATGTGGTTTTGTACAACTGCAAAAATTATGCTGGAACCCGGATGCAGAGTCTCCTGGTGATCATAGCTGGGAATGCACAGGATTTATCAGTCTCCTAGCAGTAGGTGGGAGAGGACAGTTTCTGCAAGAACTGATTTTTTTTCTGGTGTTGTAGTTGAGTCTGCATGTCTGGCATGAGCAGGAATCGGGGAGCTTGCAAGGATGGGCAGGGTGAGGATGGCGGAGTAGCTTACAGTGGGGGATGTGTGGTCAGCTGGGTCCGGGGGGGTGTTTTAGGGAGGGAGGGGATACCTCTGAAGTCTGACTGTTGGTTTAATGTGACATCTCTTCTTTTTTAGTACAGTATTCTCTTCAAACAAGAACAAGGTAAGCAGCCTCACCTGTGAGAATTGTTGTCCCTGGTGTTTGGAGGGCTGAACTGACATGCACAAGAGATGGCAGGGGCAGCTGAAAACACATATTTACAAGCAAACAGCAACAGAAGCCCCCAAACAACTAACTAGAAAGAAAAAGCAGGGGTCACAGAATAGACTGGGAAGCTGCAGGCTGAGGGAAGCTTTCCCACCTGAGAAAGATGAAGCTCTGAGCTTCCCAGTAGCCAGGGTGATGAAGGGTAACCTTAGAGCCTCTGAACATGCCTTGGGGCTTTTACGATGGTTCCCCCCTTCAGGCCATGACCCTTAGTAGAAGTGGAGGATGGACTGGGTGCTGTGCAGCAGTAGCTGAGGTGGGATGGCAATGGGGAACAGTCAGTGTAGTCTGGGACACAGCTTGCCAGGACGCTGGGCTTCTCACGTGCCCCGTTTCTTCACCACACCTGGAAGAGCTGGGCAAAGCTGGGAGGAACCTGTGGAAAGGCATTGTAAAAGCTCTTCCACTCTAGGTAACTGATGTTTAGATAGGCTGAAGTTAAAGCCAAACGCATTCTTCAAGTTAGCTCAGATGGGTAACTAACTAGTCAGGCATGCCATCAGCTACCTTCAACTACCTGGCATGCTGCTAATGCCTTCCAGGTGGCGAGCTAGCAGGCTAGACTCAGGTGGGCATTGTCACTGAGGCCACAGCCGTTCACGGCCCTGATACATCTTGGGAAGGTATTCCTCGACCATTGCTATAAGGTGTGAATAAAGCCTCTGTGTGCACTTGCCACATCCCTGGACCTGCGCCAGGTGTGGAGACCTGACAGGGAAGGCCACCAGATATGCAGTTGGTGGACTTGGAATTTAAGCTGGACTTAAGTCAGCAGAGCTTGAGTTTAAATCCCAGTTCTGGTGCTTCTTAGCTTTTGACTTTGAGTGAGTTACTGTGCTTCCCTAAGCCTCTGATTCCTTGTCTGTAGGATGAAGATATTAACCCTTCATAGGGTTGTTGTGGTTAATTGAGATAATATTATATAAAATTAATGTAGTTACTGATTGATGAAGCCTAAGAGACATTTGTGTTGGAGAGCTCAAGCATCTTGATATTTGTTCTCAGACCTGTATTATTTGCACTTGAACTGCCTACTGGTTGCCAAGGATCCTTGAGGCACCAGTCTTACCAAGTTGAGGTCTTTGGAGGGTGAGGGGCTTCCTGGTTCTAACCAGGTGACACAGGCAGGCAGTATGCTAAAGTGGAAAGGACATAGATGGCTCTGGTACTCCCTCCCTACCAGGTAAACCTGTGATTTGGGACAAGAGGCTTTTTCAGAATGTCCAGTGTTCATGTGTCCCTCTGCAGTTCTGACAGAAACTGATGGGAAAGCACTTGGCAAGACAGTTAAAGCAGGTGGCTGTGAGCTTGGAGTTGTCGGAGCAGCATTTCTGCTTCATTTCAGCCTGTGCGGTTTAGACATTGCAGGAAGACTTAAATGAAGTGCTTTCTAATTCTAGCCCATGATGATGCCATTTGGTCGGTTGCCTGGGGGACAAACAAGAAAGAAAACTCTGAGACGGTGGTTACGGGGTCCCTGGATGACCTGGTGAAAGTCTGGAAGTGGTGAGTGCCCTCTCCCCTTATGGCTTTGGAAATTGGGGTTCACAGTTTTGCTTCTGGACTCCCAAGGTACAATCAGGAGAGTCATGTTTCCTAGGCAAGAAAGCAGTAGCAGTCTGATGGTATAAAAAGGCAGCCTGCGTTTTCCCCTTATTCAATGTTAAGGCCTATACTTTAAGGAAAAAAAAAAGTCCCACAGTTAAAACTTGGCCTCCCTTGGTGTTTCATGCCTGTGGGTTCCACTCCAAGTCTGCATTTTACAGACTATTGGTAATGGGAGGGGGCAGGTCATGGGGGCCTAGAATTTCAGGCGCTGGTACAGCCTGTTGTGCAAAAACCCATTTTTCTGTCCCCCACTGCAGGTGTGATGAGAGGCTGGACCTACAGTGGAGTCTAGAGGGACATCAACTGGGCGTGGTGTCTGTGGACATCAGCCATACACTGCCCATCGCTGCATCCAGTTCTCTTGACGCTCATATTCGTCTCTGGGACTTGGATAATGGCAAACAGATAAAATCTATAGATGCAGGACCAGGTAAGAGCTTTACTTGTCAGGAAGATAATAGACACAACCCCTTTCCACACCTGTAGTTCAGAAGTTTTTGGATTTGAGGGGCTAATTAACATGGGTGCATGAACTGTATGTTATGTAATAGCTTTGGGAGGGGTGCCCTCCAAGCATTAATGTCTCAGCAACTAAACAGTGTTTCTACATCCGTTAGGTCAGGTTTTACTGCCAAATAAATTTTAGTACTAAGCCTATTAAAAAACTCAGAGTTTTCAGAGGTTTTAGATTTTAGAATCGTCGATTTGGGGCTGTGGATTTGGATGGTCCGGAGGTTCTGAGTTTGCCATAGTCTGATTTGACATGCAATGGCTAATAGAAGTCTTCAGTATAAAGTATTGTGTTGTCTTAAATCTGTATCATGGTAACCTCTATGAATTATGATTACAGTGCCCGATTCCCAGCATTTGACATGAAACTGCTAGAATAACATTTCTTTTTTTAAAATACCATAGGACAGCATAATCTTGTCCATCAGCATTGATAAATATCTGGGGGAAAGGAATTAATGGTTTCAGTGGATGGTTTAACGTGGAACAACCACATGACATCTCAGAATTCCTTGTAGCCTTCAGTCTGCTTGTAAATGACTGCATAACATTCACGACCAGAGGCTGTCTGGCCAGAATGGGTCATGACCCCCAGAGAGCACAGAGCTACTTGCCTCTCTGGTATACCCTTCAAGGGTTGGCTACAGAAAAGTTACTTCAGTGTTTCCTGAACATAATTCCCTTGATTGGAGCCCCAGGTGGACTTGCCTCCCAGTGATTATGCTCAGTACCCAATACAGGCTGTCTTTATATTGGAAAGAATAATAGTCCCACAGTTTATAGGGAAGCTAGATTATTTGGGGACTGAGTGCATTTCCCCTCAGAAGCAATAGTTCATGTTTATGGTACTTACCGCTGGAGCTTTTCTAAAGAATACGCATGCCCAGACCCTGAGCAATCATCAGGGTGTGTGGGCTGGATATGTATTTGGAAAAAGCTACTCAGACACTGACTTCCCAGGTGATTGTCTTTGCCTGTATTCTTACCTGCTGACATCGCTCATGGAGGACTTGAGGCCCCAGACCAGCCCCCAAAGCCTATGAAGACAAAGAGCCCCGGAGAGGAGGAGGAGGCAGATCTGTTACTGCCTTTTTACCTTGGGCACCGAAGCCTTCCCCAGACCTGTGATGCTGAGGGCAGTGAGCTGATCTTGTGGTCCTGGGTGCGCTGCACTTGGAGAGATGAGTACTGGCTTGGTTTCAAGGGAGAGGATGAGTCTGTACCCAGCTTGCCTTCCCTGACACCCAGTGCCCTAAACAATTGGGTGTCGGTTCTGTGCGTGTCAAGTGCTTGTGGAAAGGTTCCTGTTGGGAAAGAAACAAGGTCCAGAGATTCGTCAAGGGGTTAGATTTACTTTCTCTTTGGACAGGAATCTGGTTGTGGCACAGCAGGTACTTGGGTAGTAAAAGCAGGTGCTGCTGTTGATAGCTAAAGAGCAACTGAGCCATGCGAAGGCTCACACTGCTCATGAGTGTGGGGACACCAACACATACGTTGTGCCTGTCTTGAAAATACATGGAGGATGTGGACCACCACAAATAACAGGGAAAAGGGAAAGAGAAAATCCCTGATCCCGGGGAATGTAAGGATGTGGATGGCAGTGAGGACACAGGCGAGGGCCTCATGAACAAGGCAGCTGTGCTCCCTGCACTGGACACTTGGGATAAGCATCCGTGCCCTCAGACAGGCAGGACCCCCATAAGTAAGGAGCTGCTCCCAGTGACGAGGTGGAGCTTAGTGATTATGATAGATACCTTTTGTGCAGAAATTATAGGCTTAGAATGTGGGAACAAAAATCCCTTCAATTTTGAGCATCAGGATATTTGATGCTAAAAATTTTATATCGTAAACCAGCTAACAGGGAAATATAAAAATATTTAGAAATATTTTATTAAACTGAAAGGAATTCAAAGCAGATTTTCTAGTAACCATTATTTCTGTAAACAGCTAAATTATGGGGATCCCTGGGTGGCTCAGCGGTTTAGTGCCTGCCTTTGGCCCAGGGCACAATCCTGGAGACACAGGATCGGGTCCCGCATTGGGTTCCTGGCATGGAGCCTGCTTCTTCCTCTGCCTGTGTCTCTGCCTCTCTCTCTCTCTCTCTCTCTCTCTCTCTCTCTCTCTCTCTCTCTCTCTTTGTCTATCATGAATAAATGAATAAACCTTAAATAAATAAATAAATAAATAAACAGCTAAATTACAATAGGAATAAGTAAGCATAATCTTGTTAGAATAAATTCTAGTTATTTATTAGTAAAGAGATTAAAAACAGCTATTTGAGCGATTGATTATAAAAGCTTTTTCAGATCTTGGTTAATTGGGCATTCTCATGGGACGCCTGGGTGGTTTAGCAGTTGAGCACCTGCCTTTGGCTCAGGGCGTGATCCTGCAGTCCCAGAATCGAGTCCTGCATCGGGCTCCCTGCATGGGGCTTCTGCCTCTGTCTATGCCTCTGCCTTTCTGTCTGTGTCTTTCATGAATAAATAAATCTTTTTTAAAAAAATTGAGCATTCTTGCAGTTAATTTCCTTTTAAAAATGAACATTTCGTGAGAAAAGTGATAGAACTAAATTATTACCCCTTTCAATATGTGTGTTGAAATTTGCAAGAGATTTTTGTTTTATTTATTTATTTTAAGATTTATTTATTTATTCGGGGGGGCGGGCAGAGACACAAGCAGAGGGAGAAGTAGGCTCCATGCAGGAAGCCTGACATGGGACTTGATCCCAGGTCCTCAGGATCACACCCTAGGCTGCAGGCGGCGCTAAACCACTGCGCCACCAGGGCTACCCGAGGTTTTTGTTTTAAAAAACCTTGGGATAGGGGATCCTTGGGTGGCTCGGCGGTTTAGCGCCTGCCTTCGGCCCAGGGTGTGATCCTGAGGACCTGGGATCAAGTCCCATGTCAGGCTTCCTGCATGGAGCCTGCTTCTCCCTCTGCTTGTGTCTCTGCCTGCCTCTCTCTCTGTCTCGCTCGCTCGCTCTGTCTCTCTCGAGTAAATAAATAAACTCTTAAAAAAAGAAAACAAAACCATGGGAGATGGTGCTGAGCCCTCTGTGCTGGGACCTGCCATCTGCCATGTGTCAGCTCACAGCAGCCTCTCCTCAGTCCTGTGGGCTGGGAAGGGCCTGCTGTATGTGAGCTCTTCCCAGGAATGAGGACAGAGACTTGGGAGGGAGCCTTTCTCAGCTTTCCCTTTGATCTGACAAGCACTGTTGTGTCAGGGCAGGGTGGCAAGACTTGGGGTGTGTTCCTCTACAAGAGTGCCTATGGGCAAAGGGACAGGCAGACAGTGAGCAACTAGGTAGCAACTGGCCTCCAACCTCTGACCCCAAAGGCCCCTAGAGGTCTTTGGGATGGCCTCTGAAGTGGTTCTGAGTAGCTCAGAAAATAAATGCTAGACTACCACCCGTGGCGTGTTCCCAGATAGAAATCATCACTTGCCCCTGCACCAGGGGAGTCCAGAGGACGACCCCCCCCCCCCCAATCCGGCTGAGGAAATAGTGTGATGCACAAATCACACTGGAATAGAGCTCTTGAAATGAACTAAGCTGAATGGTGTAACTTAGAAACTAGGTGGTTTTTCTAAAAGCAGCAGTGCCTCTTTCCAGTCCTTGTTAATTTGTGGTAAATACTTTGTCATATTCTAGTTTAACAGAAGAGTATTTGTGGTAGGACATCTTGATTTAGTTATAGCTTTTTTTTTTTTTAAGATTTTATTTATTTAATCCATGAGAGACTCAGAGAGAGAGAGGCAGAGACATAGGCAGAGGCAGAAGCAGGCTCCATGCAGGAAGCCCGATGTGGGACTCGATCCTGAGACCCTGTATCATGCCCTGAGCCAAAGGCAGATGCTCAACCGCCAAGCCACCCAGGCGTCCCTAGTTACAGCTTTATTGAGATAAGCTCTCACTTGTATAATTGCAATGTAAAGGTAGCCCTCTGTGTTTGGTTCTGTGAGTCTTAGTAAATCTCTGGGGTTGTATGGTCACCACTGCGGTTCCAGGCCTTAGAAAATACCCTTGTGTCCATGTAGAGTCAGTCTCCTCCACCTTCAGCCTCAGGCAGCCACTGATCTGCTCCTCATTTCTGTAGTTTTGCCTTTCTGAAAAATGTTGTTTAGGTGGAATTGTATTGTCTTCTACGTCTTCGTTCTTTCTGTAGCATCACACTTGCAAGGTTCCTCCACATTGTAGCATGTATCAGCAGTTCCTTATTTTGTTCTTGCACCAACCACTTGATGGACATGTGGATGCTTTCCAAATTTTTACTATGTAAAAACTATAGTGCTATGAACATCTGTGCACAAGTCTTTGTGTGAATATGTGTTTTCATTTTTCCTGGGTTAGATACCCAGGAGTGGAATTCCAGGATATTCTGGTAAGTTTGTTTTCATTTAAGAAACTGTCAAACTGTTAAAACAGTCCCATTTACAATTGCATCATAACCAGTAAGATACCTATGAATTTTCCTAACCAAAAAGGTAAAGGATCTGTACTCTGAAAACTATAAAACACTGATGAAAGAAATTGAGAGGATGCAAAGAAATGGAAAAACATCCCATGCTCATGAATTGGAAGAATAAAATTGTTAAAATGTCTGTGATACCCAGAGGAATCTACACATTCAGTGCAATCCCTATCAAAATACGAACAGCATTTTTCACAGATTTAGAACAAACAATCCTAAAATTGTAAAATTTGTTTGGAAACACAAAAGACCCCAAAAAGCCAAAGCAACCTTGAAAAAGCAAAGCAAAACCAGAGTCCTCACGATTCCAAACTTCATGCCATATTACAAAGCTGTAATCATCGAGACTATATGGTCCTGGCGCAAAAACAGACACATAGATCGATGGAACAGAATAGAGAAATGGACCCTCTACTCTTTGATCAATATTCGACAAAGCAGGAAAGAATATCCAATGGAAAAAAGACAGTCTCTTCAGTAAATGGTGTGGGAAAATTGGACAGCCACATGTAGAAAAATGAAACCGGACCATTTTCTTACACCACAAAGATAAACTCAAAATGGTTGAAAGACGTAAATGTGAGACAAAAATCCTAGAGAACACAGGCAACAACCTTTGTGACATTGGCTGTAGCACCTTCTTACTAGACACATTTATGAATGCAAAGGAAACAAGCAAAATTGAACTCTTGGGACTTCATGAAGATAAAAAGGTTTGCACAGCAAAGGAAACCGTCACCAAAACTAAAAGACAACCTACAGAATGGGAGAAGATATATGCAAATGACATCTCAGAAAAAGGGCTGGTATCCCAGATCTATAAAGAACTTCTAAAACTCAATACCCAAAAAACAATCCAGTTACAAAATGGGCAGAAGACATGAGCAGGTATTTCTCCAAAGATGACATACAGATGGCCAACAGACACATGAAAAACTGCTCCACATCACTTGCTATCAGGGAAACACAAATCAAAACCACCATGAGGTACCACTATACACCAGAGAGAATAGCTAAAATTAACAAGACAGGAAATGTGTTGTCAAGGATGTGCAGAAAGGGGAACCCTCTTACACTATTGGTGGGAATGCAGCCTGGTGCAGCCACTCTGGAAAACAGTGTGGAGGTTCCTCAAGAAGTTAGAAATAGAGATACCCAATGGCTCAGCAATTGCATTACTGGGTATTTACCCCAAAGATACAGATGTAGTGAAATGCCGGAACATCTGCACCCCAATGTTCATAGCAGCAATGTCCACAATAGCCAAACTGTGGAAGGAGCCAAGATGTTCTTCGACAGATAGAATTAATAAAGAAGATGTGGTCTATATATACAAGGGAATATTACTCAGCCATCAGAAAGGATGAACATCTACCATTTACATTGTTGTGGATGGAATTGGAGGGTATTATGCTGAGTGAAATGAGTCAGTCAGAGAAAGACAATTACCATATGGTTTCACTCATGTGGAATTTAAGAAACAAAGCAAACGAACAAAGAAGAGAAAAAGAAACACAAACCAAGAAACAAACTGAACCGCAGAGGACACACTGCTGGTCACCAGCGGGGGTGTGGGAGTGTGGTGGGGGCACCTCTGTGCACAGGTGATAGGGGTAAAGGAGGCTACGTGTCCTGATGAGTGCCAGATGATTAACATTTTTTTTTAAGATCTTATTTATTTATTCATGAGAGACAGAGAAGCAGAGACATAGGCAGAGGGAGAAGCAGGCTCCATGCAGGGAGCCTGATGTGGGACTTGATCTTGAGACCCTGGGATCACACCCTGAGCCAAAGGTGCACTCAACCGCTAAGCCACCCAGGTGTCCCGGTGATTAACATTTTTAAAAAGAAAACTGTTTAACTGTTCTTCAGAATGGCCGCACCATTTTATGTTTCCACCAGTACATGAGGATTTTGGTTTCTTCACATCCTTGTTAACACTTGGTATTATCCTATTTTTATCAAAAATTTTAAAAGCCCATAAACTAAATTGGTAAAGAATTAGCAACTTCACACATAGGTTTTTGAATCAGGACATTGTTTCTAATTTTTAAAAACTGTATCTTTTGGCAAAATTGTAAAAGTTTTAAAACTTAAGGTCACACTTTTTCTCACCGTATTTTTTTCCTTCTTTTTTTCTGTTCAGTGGATGCCTGGACTTTGGCCTTTTCTCCTGATTCCCAGTATCTGGCCACAGGAACTCATGTGGGGAAAGTGAACATTTTTGGTGTGGAAAGTGGGAAAAAGGAATATTCTCTGGACACGAGAGGAAAATTCATTCTTAGTATTGCATATGTAAGGAACCCTTGCTCTCTCTTCTCTCCCCAACTCTACTTTATGCGCTTGCAGCTTGTGACCGCTGCTGTCTGGCTGGCACAGCCTGTAGTAGCAGCTCTGCTTGTGTTTGGTGGGGACGGCTTAGCCCCGCAGAGTCTCAGATGTCCTCCGAATGTTCTCTGCACAGAGCCCTGATGGGAAGTATCTGGCCAGTGGAGCCATAGATGGGATCATCAATATTTTTGATATTGCAACTGGAAAACTTCTGCACACGCTAGAAGGTATGGCTCATTTTGTTTTGTGTAAAGTGGGTTATCAGATCAGCAAGGAGGAATTAGTCTTTTATTAAAATGCTACTAAATGACAAATGAGTTTTACGTTTGCAAAAGAGTGATCTCGTTTGGAAATCTGAAATGCCTCCAGGTCCTAGTTTGGTTGTCCAGTAGAACCTGGACGTGCTTGTTCTGGTGAACACTCACTTGTTTATGTGTCCATGTATCTCAGTCATGTGAGTGTTTCCTTTCTGTCCTTTTTGGTTCTGCAGAACGTTGTGATTAAGAACGACTTTTTGTCAAAAACCTGAAGGTGGATGAATGCACAGTACCTGTGCCCTGCACTGCGGCTTCACAGCATGGTTGGGAGGGAGGCTTCCACTCTGCTCTTCCTACTAGTTGCAATTCTGACCAAGCAAATACGGGGCCTGCTTAGTTTACCATTTACCGTACAATATGAGATGCAGTAGGAAACGGCATCCTGTAGCCCATCCGTATGGATCATCATGTATATTTCCTCGTTTGTCCGTGTCGATAGCAGACCAGCCATGTATGCTAAGGTCAAGCTGATGAGGGAAGGAACCCAGGAGAAATGGCTCCAGGAGGAGGGGCCTGTGTTATGTGGATGTTTCTGGAACACTAGCAGGAGAGCCTGTGCAGTCCCTCCCCACCCTCTGACAGAAGCAGTGCGGCTCAGTGACTGGTCATTAAAAGGGACACTCACTGTCAGTGGGGAACCTGTGATTTGCCAGATTGACAGGGGCCTTTGTGAATTTCAGGCCATGCTATGCCTATCCGTTCCCTGACATTCTCCCCGGATTCTCAGCTCCTGGTCACTGCATCAGATGATGGCTACATCAAGATCTATGATGTGTAAGTTATCATGGAGACTTGAGGCTTCTCACCCAGTATCAGCGCCCTTCCTGCATCCCACCGCTTGAAGGAGTCCTGGGCCCAGGGGGGGCTTGTGTGCAGGGCCCTGGGCATTGCTCCCCGGTCAGTAGTCCTGACCTTGAACTTAGAATGTCACAGGCTGCCTCCTAGGATCAGGCACTTCCTGCCTGTTTTCACCTATCCTGTCTCTTGTGGAGCTCATGGATTTTCACTTCCTTCAGGTAAGTAAGGTGTGTACAGATAAGGAGGTGGAACCACTGGTGGTCACTGGTGCAGAGTGATGGCAGAACCACAAACATCCAGTCTGCACTCTTCTGCCTCTCCCGGGGCTGTTGGTGGTTTGACTGCAGGTATAGGAGTGAGTTGAGTGATCATTCTCCTCAGGTCACAGCTCTCTTGTAAGCCTGTGCGCTGCCTATATCTCCAGGGTTCCCCACTGTTCTTTTCCACCCTCAAGCATCCCTTGGAGGGTGTTTGTGTCCTTGATGCTTGGACTCAGCAATGTGGTCTATGTGCCTCTGGCTCATGGCCTCTGAATATGGTATTCTGGTGCCCTGGGTCACAGGACATACTGGTCTGTGCCCCAGCAGTGAGTGGGTGCTACAACCCTGACCACCTGTGTGCTCTCATGTGGGCTCGTGAGGGTTTTCTGGGGGGTTTGCACCGGGGTGGAGGAACACGGAGGACAAAATGTCAGCAAGGTGGCAGAAGTACAGGTTCTGAACAAGAGCTGGAGAGGGAGTTCAGGCTCCAGAGGGACTAGTGACTAGTCTCCCCTAAGTGCAGAGCAGGAGCCTCTCCTTGCCCCCACCCCCCGAGGTCTGTTCTGTGCGGCTGCAGCCTGTTCTCCCAGGTGGGACCTCGCCACGCTGTAGTCAGGCCTCAGGATTGTTCTCCTGCCTTTGCTGATTGCATTTCACTTTTCTGAAAGTGAAAAATGGCTTTTGTAATTAGACCCGTCTTGTTCTTGGTTTGATTAAAAATGGTCTGTCCATGCCGCATCTGTCCTAAAGCGTGAATATGAGCAGCTCCGTTGGACAGGAGGCACTGGCTCCCTGGTGGAAGGGGTGCCGGCTGTGCGGGCAGGGACAGCCTGCTACTGTCCTCAGGCAGCCAGCCCCCCTGCTAGTTTCTTCTCCTGTGGTTCTTCTCCTTCTTGATTTTGGGCTGTGAAGCTCTTAGCTTGCTGTGGGTCCTACTCTGTTATGGGGGGAAATTCTGACATTTGTGCTAATGCTCCTGTAAAAATTTGTATCATTTCCATTTTGTTTGAAACTTTCCCATTTCAGACAACATGCCAATTTGGCTGGCACGCTGAGTGGCCATGCATCATGGGTGCTGAATGTTGCATTTTGTCCTGACGACACCCACTTTGTGTCCAGGTACTTATTATTCTTGGCCATTTCTTAAATGCTGGGGAAATGAAGACTGTCCTTTGTGAGTTGCCTTAAAATTTGAAGATGGTCTGACCCTTTTTCATTCAGGTAGACTGTTTTCTACATTGGTTTTGTGAGTGGTTTCCTGAGTTGTGAAGGTAGTTGTCCTTAGCTGGAACCAAGGTGGATTCTTAGAATAGTTCAATTTTTAGTTTTTCCTTATAAATCTAGGCTTCCACATGCAGTTGCTGTAGGGATACCTGTGTTCCAACAGTAACTCAAAATACATAAATCTGTGTACAAGTGGTGTTCAGGCCCAGGGCAGCCCACACGGTAAAGAAAGGAGATGGCCGGCTTACTAGCATTGCGCAGAGGTTACGGCAGCCTCTTTGTTGGGAGGCTTTCACAGGCCCCTCCAACCTGGTACAGGCACACGTGTCTGAGGCTCCTGTGGGCTCAGGCCGGCCACAGTGCACACAGCTAGGCAGAATAGGGGAGCGAAGGATGGTGGGGTTTCTGGTCACATTCCTTCCAACCTAAAACCAGAATACAAACTGTTTTGAAACTGATATTCCCTTTTTTACACAGTTCATCTGATAAAAGTGTGAAAGTTTGGGATGTTGGAACAAGAACCTGTGTTCACACCTTCTTCGATCACCAGGATCAGGTACAGCAAATTTCACATTCACGTTCCTTTATCTTTGGTTAGACCTGCAGACGTGCTAGCCTTACCTGACTACTGCTGACACCTGTCCCCTCTCCTGACCTGCTGCTTGACCTGCTTGAGTGTCCATCAGCCAGCGTCCTGCACACATTGAATGGGCTGGTGGCTAGGTAGGCCATGAAACATGATGGCCCTTTGAGGGCCAGGGAACACGGCACCAGCCACGCAGCCGTTTGGTGCCTTTGGAAAGTGCAGGGTGCCCAGGGCATGCCGGGAGCACTTCTCCATGTGCAGCCTGCCACCGCTGGCCCAGGAAGGGCTTTCCTTAGAAGTGCCCATTTCTCACACACACAGCTCTTGTCATTTTTGGAGCTGGCCATAGAAGTGATTTTTTTTCAACATACTTAAAGCCATAAATTCTTAACAGGTTATTTGGCTTTAGTGACATTAATAACTTTTTACTTCACTTTTTTTTTTTTAAGATTTTATTTATTCATGAGAGAGACAGAGAGAGACAGAGAGACAGGCAGAGAGAGAAGCAGGCTCCATGCAGGGAGCCCGATGCGGGACTCGATCCCAGGACTCCAGGATCACACCCTGAGTCAAAGGCAGACACTCAACCACTGAGCCACCCAGGCATCTCTTTGCTTCACTTTTTAAATGAGGTGGTGACTCTGTTCTCTCAGGGTACTTTTTGTCTTTGCCCGTGTGGATGTGAAAGGAAAAGGTGGTCTGATGCAGTGCCTCTGCATAAGGAATCCCTGGGGCTCTTCCATTCATTAGGGCTGGCACGGGGCCTGGGCTTCTGCATGTGTATCCAGCTCCAGGAGGGGCACATGCTGCTGGTCCCAACCACTTTGAGTAGCAAGTTTCAGGAAGCTAGTCACTTTTAAAAATGCCCATGGCAGTAAAAAGTTGACTTTTAATATATTTTTAATGTTTTTATGAAGATCCCAGGTTTTTTATCTTATTTTTTTCAAGTAATGTATATGTACACCCAATACGGGGGCTCAAACTCATGACCCCAAGATTAGGAGTCATATGTTCTACCAACTGAGCCAACCAGCAGCCCCGATGACCTCTTTGGAATGCAGCTTGAAGTGAATATAATTGTTTATGCTTCTTTACATCTAATGTGAAATAATTACTGCTAATGAAGTTGAGGGGATTTAATCTTGATTATTTCACCTCTGGACTTTAACATTTCATATGCGAGTAAATCTGGCTGCACGTGGCTCAGAGTATGATGCGGTCTCAGGAGTGTTTGGGTGGAAGTGAGGCTGTCGGCCCAACAGGTGCAAGCACTGGACTCAGGACTGGAACCCCCACTCAGAGTCAGTTTTGTCAGGAAGGAGATGTGACCATTGACTTAACATAGCAAGTAAAACCAGGGCTCCTTGATGCCTACTGGTCCAGCTGTGAGAACAGACAGGCTCCAGAGGCTCTGATAACAGAGACTCGTGGGCTGGGCATGGGGGCACAGGAGTGAGGTGACGAGCAGTTTTTCCCCATAGGCAGTACCCCCAGGGCAGTTGTGGGCCTTCTTTCTGGAAACACAAATGAGCCCGCACCAGTCCTATGGGTACCAGCTTCATGGCATTAGGTCACTCCCCAGATCCTGAAACTCTGGAAAGGTTTGTAGATATCCTGATTTGGGTTTAGAAATGACACTGTGGGGATCCCTGGGTGGTGCAGTGGTTTGGCGCCTGCCTTTGGCCCAGGGCGCGATCCTGGAGACCCGGGATCGAATCCCACGTCGGGCTCCCAGTGCATGGAGCCTGTTTCTCCCTCTGCCTATGTCTCTGCGTCTCTCTCTCTCTCTGTGTGACTGTCATAAATAAAAAAAAAAAAAAAAAAAAAGACACTGTGGAATATGGGAGGGGAGGGATGATAAATAGTAGCGATGCAAGGTGCCTGGTTAAGGGAAAGCCCCGGAGTGCACTGGCTCAGAAAGCACCAGAACATCCCCGTCTCACTGTTTTTCTAGATTCAGTATAGTGAGAATAAAGAAGGATATTTGCTAATGAAGAATGAAGGCATGAGAACTTTGCTTTCTCTTTTTCTTTGATGTACAGGTCTGGGGAGTAAAATACAATGGAAATGGCTCAAAGATTGTGTCCGTGGGTGATGACCAGGAAATCCACGTCTATGATTGCCCCGTGTAAACACCAGAGTCTCGCAGGCCGGTGTGCAGGTCATGACATTCCGTACCTCTCTAGCTTTAACAAAACAGAGTGTTTATTGGAACAGAAGCTTAAATTTTGTAGATATGGTATCTGTTCATACTTTAACATAAAGTGTTCATAACACAAACACTGCGTTCTGGGCTCTTTGACCTGCCCTGTTGCAGGTAGGAGAGTGGGAGGAGGATCTGCCCCAGAGATGCAGAGATCCAGGCACCTCCCAAACCTCCCAGCTGAGATGGCTGCAGGCTTCTCCTCGGGGTATCCGTCCTGCAGAAGCTTCTGAATGGAGGCCTGAAGGGAGCAGGGTAATTGCCCGGGGCGGGGGGGATGTCCTGGAGTTCTGCTATTTGGGTATGTTTGGTACCCTGAATGTCACCTGCCACATGGCACCCTAGACTTTAGGGGAGTATTGCCTGTGGTGTCCATACGTGCCAGCCCCACCTCCATACCCCAGAAGCTGGTGTCCCTTCAACGGGGTCTGCATGGAAATGGCTCACTCTCTGAAGCTTGTTGCTTTTCATTACTGACTCCATATGCCTGTGAGGTCATATACTTGTCCCCCAAGCCCGTCATCCCCAGATAAAGCCTGTGCCATCTCCAAATAAAGCCTGCGCCACAGCTGCCACCAGACACCACCCCTTCTCTCTACAGCTGCCCGTTATGCCTGATGTCTGCATGTACCTTCACCCCAGGTAGGAGCGCCTGTCCAGCAGCATGAGGCAGGCTGGCACTTAACACCCTCATTGGACCTCAAGAAAATGTCAACAGCCAGAGCCATTCGTCTCAGACCAGCTCAATTTTAATTCTGAGGTGACAAAGATACAGGTGGAGTCAGTTTTAAGAAACATCCTCCAAATCCCATTCCTGCCACCAGGAAGGAGCTGAAGGTAATGCCACCCCGTCAGCAGTAGCTGTGCGGCGGCAATCAGGAAGTTGTGGTATAGATAGGACACCCTGGAGCTATGGTCCCATTTGTAAATGGGTTTGCACACAGGCTTGGTTGGAAGAGTAGGTTTTAGGGCTGTCCTGAACAGCAGGCACTGGGGGTTACCTATTTTGAGCAAGTGGTGCCTGCCTGCTCACACAGTCCTGCTGGAGCCTGGTCCTGCGAGCTGGCTCACCCTGAGTGTGGGCCTGTGGGGCCCCTCAGCCCTACTGTGGGTGGCCCTGGTCTGCATCAAACTTGCAGGTTCTGCAGAACCAAGAGAGGGCGGGTCTGACGAGTGACCCCTTCTGTAGCCCAGCAGCTTCTCCCAACTGCAGTGGGAAGGAAGGTACCAGTGATGGCTAAGGGCTATGATGACCCTACACGTGAGCTGTGGCCACTTGCTGGGAGTAAAGCGGTGAGGACCGTCCGTCTGGGCAGGCAGCCCGTACCACAGTGCACAGCATTGGCTAGGCAGTGTGCTCACCAGAACCACGTCCCCTCAGCAAGAAGCCCTTTGTTCCATGGCCATGTAGCCAGAGGAACCATCTGTCGAAGGGAGCCAGATCTGGGAGGGGGTGCCTTCCCAGACCAGGCTGCTCCTTCGGCTTCCATTGCTTCCCTGAGGCTATGGAGCACTTGGGGGTATCCTTGTCTTTACGGTAAGCACTTTGGTGGGAGAGCAGTGCAAGGGCTGCCAACAGAAGGTCATCACAACCACAGAGAACAAGGTGTGGGGTCAGCGCTTCATAGACAACACTGGGTTATCCTCCCCCACAAGGCCTGGAAGCTTCCAGGACAGATGATCATACTCCCGCCCCCCCCCCCCATTTTATGTGGACCAAGTGCAGGCCACAGCTGTGCTTTTGTCTTGGGGGAGGTTCATGAAGAATTTAGATTCAGGACCATCCCAGCAGCAGCCCCGGGAGGGGGGCAGGGAAGCCATCCATGCCGGAGGCTGAGCCTAGGGGTCTACAAACAGCTGCCCTGGTGGTTATGGCAAAGCCACTGGCGCTTCAAAAGTATCCTGAAAATGTAAATAAACATTCCATATGCAGACTAGAGGTGATTTACACTTGAAACATTTAAATATAAAGCTGTAACTTAAGTGACAACCAAAAGAAAAAAAAAAAACAAGACACTCAGCAACTGAGAAGGCTGAACACACACACAGGACACCCCAGACACGAGCCCACTAGGCAATGCCATTTTCATTGTGCCAACTTTATGCGCAGGGCATGCTAGTCCAGCTGTCTGGCCCCTCACGCTGTCTGGCACTGCACCCCAGCACGTGGCCCATCCTCATCCTCCTCGTAGGCCTCCCTGTGCTGACGCCAGTTCTGCTCGCTGGGGTTGAACTCCTTCAGCTCCACCTGGTCCATGTCATCTGTGACCCTGACCTTCTGCCGTGGGGGCAGCAGGGCCTCCAGCTGAGGAAGCTTGTCTTGTGGAAGCCAGTGTTTCTCAGGGAAGATGACCTGTGGAGGGTGAGGTGGAGCTAGGTAGCGGCTGCCCCTCCCAGGGAGGCATGCCTAACACAGCCCACAACCACCATCTGGAACTTACTAGAAACTGGATGATCAGAGTCCCCTTCTCCAGGGGCGCTTTGTAGATGGGCATCCCTTCATTACGCACACACCTCAGGTCCCCGTGCTTTATCACCTCGCCTGCCGCAGAGAAGGGTCAGTTATAGAGCAGAAGACGGGAGTGGCCTGGTGACAGACCCTGCTGGGGGGCGAGGGGAAGCACCCCAGGCAACGTGCCGGCCCCTCCAGCACAAGGTAACGCTCTGAATGCCGACCAGACTAGAGCACTGGAGCCTGGGAGCTGCAGGTGGTCCAGCCTGCCTTCCGGCACTGCCCACGATGCACATTCTAAAGGCATCATGGGGTTTAGGCCCCTGAGCTCCAGGGTTCTGGCCCACATCTAAAAACATTGTCTCCCCACCACCACCCTGAAAAAGAAAGGGCACAAGGGTCTCCAGAAGCTAGCTCCATGCAGAATGAGGGTGGGGAGGGGATGCCCAGCATGGTTGCTCCATGGCCTGCCAAGGGAAAGGTGCCGAGGACCCTCTCTGGGTCGTGAGCGGCAGGGTCCTACTCGGTGCGGGGCCTTCAGCCTCAGGGCCTGTGGCCGTCCTATGGGCTGGAAAGTTCTCCCATCTCTGTCCCTACGCCTCATGCTTCTGCCTCTACTTCAGAGGAGGCTGGGAAGATACACGCATGAGGCCCTCCAGCAGTTCCAGGTACCTGCCCCCCCGACCCTGAGTCTCAGCTCTCGGCAGCAGATAGAGGAGGAAGCAGTAGCCAAGCAATGAGAAGCCCAAATGAGAAGGTGAAGGGAAAGGACAATAAATGAAGGAGGAGGAGATTACTCCAGTGGAAGGTTCTCTGAAGACTTGGCCATTCCCTGTCACTACATGAGGAGGTGGGGTCTCCTCTGCCCCCCATCACTGACCCAGAGCCGTGCTGCCCATCAACTGTGGCCAAGGAGGATGAGCCATCCTAAAGCTGCACAGACGCCAGCCTGCTTGCACTCTAAGCACCACGGTCAGGGCTAGGGTCCCAGGAGCAGGCCTGGACCTCACACTCATGACTGCTGCCCGGGGCTTCAGGGGGGCTGTGGCCCCCAAGGCCCCCAATCGAGCAAGCAGAGGAACCAGGGACCTTGTGAGGGCTGCATTTCATGTTTTCATGAGAGTGGTGTGTTACCCTGCCATGTCCCCTCATGTCGGTGTAGACGCACGTGGCAAAATGAGAAAGTAGGTCAAGTGTTAACAGGCAGATCACGTACTGTGTTTATCATTACAACTTCTGGTTTGAAGTGGTTTCCAAATAAAAAATTAAAGAACTCTGATCAAGGCTTGGATATAGAATCCGTATCATTTTATGTCCAGAAAAGGAAGAAAGTGGAGGGAAAGAACAGAGAGAAGCAGCAGAGGAAACGAAGCCACAGAAAGAAGCCAGCAGGGAGGCAGGCAGCTCAAGATCGACTCAAGCTACCGGCCACTACCGCTCCTGGAGAGGCAGTGGGCATCCCCACCCACCCTAAACCTCAGATGCCTCAGAGCAAGCTGCTCCTGACCCTGTCAGGGAGCCCGGGTATGTAGCCACCACCACCACCACTGCCCAGATGCGTGCTGACACGGATGAGTCATCTCCGTGCTACCTGGGGACTGCTTCAAGTTCAGTCCACACCCCCCCTTCTGCCATCCTCCTCTGGCCCCTCCCAGCAGGTGCTCCGCCTGGCCCCTGTGGGCATGTGCAGGTGAGTGGGTCTGCATGAGCAGCCAAGGCTGAGTTGACAGGCAACGTCTTCTGAGGAAAATTCTACTTTAAAATATCCCTGAAGGGTAATCAACAGCACGTGAGCTGGGGGGCACATGGGGAAGGTGGCACTGCCACCATCTGTTACCCCTCATGTCTTACCAAATTAATTTTTAAAAGTTTGAGTTAAATTGGCAGGTTCCAGTGAGAGCACTGGACGCCAGGATTCCTGTGGGAGGCTCTTTCCCCTGACACTGAATTCTTTTTTCTAGAATATTTAAAACATTCAGAAACTTCTCAAGTCATTAGCAATGACTCAACTCAGAGAAGACGAAGTCTCACTACTGTCCAGTGCGAAGCCAGGCCAGCAGCCAGCCAGGTCACACACAGCTGCCCTTCAGCACGACAGCCACAGACACGCCCCTGAAACATTACCTGACTTGGATGTAATAACGAGGATTCGGTCGTCCAGCGTTTTTATCGTCTTCTTGAAGCCACAGAGGGCTTCAGAAAGCTGAATTTTCATTTTCATGATCAGGTCGTGGCCTCGCCTCTGAAAGACACTATGATCCTTCTGATCAAGTACAATTATGACATCGCCAGGCTCCAGCTCAGGCTCCTGATCTCCTTCTCCATGAAACAGTATCTTTTGCCCATCTTTCATACCTATGAGACATCATCCTTGCTGATTAGCATTTCTCTCTCTTAAAAAAACCATACTTTCTACAAAGCTATGAAGATGGCACACAGCCCTCTGCCTCTGAGGGCTTTTACTCGTCAAACCTCCCAACCTCATGGGCACGGGGACCAGAACAATAGCTGGATCGGCAAGAGAAAGAGGCCACGCCTCCCCCAGCACACAGCGCCCCTTGGGTGGCTGCCACACCCGCCACTGCACACACGTGGTCACCACCCACTGATGCTGTACGCATGGTG